CGAATAGTTCGGAATAAAGCTTTTAAAAACCTCTATTTATATGCCTATATCGACGATTTTGGGAACGAGTTTTATTGAAAAAGTTTGTCAATATCCTCAAAAAATTCCAGGCTAGTGCACGATAGAAAGTAAAATTCATAAATATTATTTATGTCAACTAGTCACAATGTCAATCACTAGATTTTTTAAAATGTAATACTCAAACTAGCCTCCCCAACCCGTTTGGCCAGCGTGGGAAGCTTAGGCCAAAATCTGACTAAATGACCTGGTGATGATGATGATGATCATTCAAACTAAACTACACGCACAAACTCTGCTTGGTCTAAGATTGATTCGTGACTTGAAAATTTAATAAGTAAATAAGTTGAACAAAGTTGTACAAAGTCGTACCTAGTAGTGGGACTGAGAGTTTGGATTGACTCCCTTAGAGGATCCCGCTCCACTAGCCTTTTTTAAGCGTCAGCAAATTAAAAATTGACTTTTTTTTCCTCCTTTATGGTATTACGATACAAAATAACGTTCAGCAGGGGGACTCTTCAAACATTTTCTGACTAAAGATAATCCTTACCACGATATTTTGGATCTTACTGCCTTGGTTTAAGATAAAAAATAAGCTGAAAAATTAAACTTGCTGACGCCCGAAATATGCTATTTTGGGACCTAAGGCCTATCTGCAATGGGATTTGAGATAATACAGTCTGGATGATGTTAATGAAGTGTCGGCTACGCTGATTCGGGTCTATTTCTAGGTACAGATCAAATTAATCCGGACATCCTGTGGGAGAAACCCGTGGGATGGATATCACAGGATTAAAGTGATTATTTCTAAGAACTATACACTAAATTGTTAGTATATTAATTTGTTGTACCTACTTAATTAAGATTGTTATAATACAAAATAATAGATTTAATTGTACGTTTATTTTAGACTTGTATTTAAATGGGCTATTTTGGGGGAAGAATAATATCATAAAATATTGTGTGTACTTACCCTATTTGAGAAAATATAGTATCTGAAAACTTCATAAATTCCAACCGTATTATAGTGATGTATCATTTAAATAAGTATGTATATTAATGAAAAATATGCTGACACCAAAAAAAGTTGCCCAAAGTACCTATTTTTGATGACGACATAATTTGTTCTATTTTATCTTTATGATACACAAGTGCTGAAAAAACATCAATTTTTCGATAAAAACGTTCTTTACTGTAGACTGGCTGTCCACGGAAGACCAGCGTCGTGGCATTATCTACTGAGATGCTACGACACCATGCTGAGTGGATACCTTTTCAGCATCATTGTAATATGTACCTACTCGTTAAATATTTTTTAAGTATTGTTGTAAGTTATGTGTATTGTCGATGATACCTACTGAATAAACATTTTTTCTTTCTTTCTTAGACAATTCCCTGATATAGCTTCTTACATCACGACGAAGCGTTCTTAAAATATGTTCTCCTCGTATAGAAGCCTGATATGTCTATCAAACTTGTATTGGGAACTACAAGTTTCTAACACGACAACTTAACCTGTTTACAGGTGTCGGAGCTATGCACAAACTGCCTTGAACGAGAATATCAGTTGGGGTTAAATCAAAGCTGTCTTGTAGACTTTGCAGGGATGGTATCATGCAATAATGCTTCATTTTTTTTGGTAAAAGATGGATAGTTGACAGTGAAACAAACCCACCTCACTGTAGTATACACCTTTTTATAGTTTTATACTAGAGACCTTAAGTTCAGTCTAAGAAAAGTTTAATAAAAATGTCAGTGTCAAATTGATTCAATAACTCACTGACAGACTTAATTATTCTGGGAATAAGGATTAGAGGTAGGAAAAAAATATTCAAATAATAATTATTAAACCTATTGCATAATTATTCAATTTCGTAACAACCCAGAATGTAATTTTTGCAATAAGTTGTTTTGTAATTAGGAATGATGCATGCAGCGTGGAGATTTCCTAAGAAAGTGATTTTTTTATCCACAACGAGGAAGCTCTTGGCCTGTATCTCACCTGATGGTAAGTGATGATCAGGCCGAAGGTGGAAGCGAGCTTCACCCGGAATCCTCAACCACGCAGGTGGTCTGATTGTGACTTATGGATATAATTAAATGGGTAGAATCAATAATAAACCCTCTAATTTACAGTATTGCTGTTACGAATATCTTAAAATCGCAAAGGAAACACATTTATAATGCTTATTAACTCAACTCGTTACACGCACACTAATAGTGTCTTGCGAAATGGGTGTGAAATATAACAGCACCGGTAATAGACGATTAACTTTACAGGTAAAACTTTATTTATTTCTTGTTCTTTGTTTATTTATTTTTAGTTGAGTAAGTAATTTTGAAATTAAATAATGCAGTCCCTTGTCCAAAATTATCTAAGGATAAGATATTTAAATAATTCTAGTACATAAACCACATAATAACATTGTCTATAAAGTATTTATTAGTCTATTATTCTACTAATAATTAATAATACGCGTGCCATTTTTTTGCATGAAAAATATCACTGCATCCACCCCGTTGGTGGATGATGTTATGCAAGAGAACTCCATGTTCTATTTATAGGACAGCGCGAGCGTGCCGCGTACAAGCTAGCTCTACAACTAGCTCGCTTGCGTTTGACATGCGGGCTTGCTGTATCCGGGAAGTTATGGGCCCTGAACGTCAGCAAGCAAGTGCGTTGGAGTTTGTTGAATAATATCGACCAGGGTGTTAGGGATGTTCATATTTTTAAAAATGAATAAATAGTAGAGCTATGGAACATTCGAAATTACACTTTTAATTTAAATTGGTAGTAACCTTATTTTATGGATGCTTACAGAATGAATTTTAACCTTTAGGTTATTAAATTATTAACCCTATACTTGGCAAAGACGGTTTTGGTTAATATTTGTGATTTACACTATAAATATTGGATTTAGGACAAGTAAAAATCATGTAAAAAATACGAAAAAAAATCTTAGGTATGTAGTTTTGGAAATATAGTATGTATCTTTAAGTGCACATTGCCAGCTTTGTAGTAAACTAAAAAATGGTTTAATTGTTAGTAAAAATTAGTTATTTAAATGAAAATTACTACAAAAACTTAAGCTATTCCTTATTTGAGAAATAAAAAGTAAGTATATTTTACAAAAAACTGAAAACAAAGTAAAAAACCCACTTCAAAGTCTGTAACGCCTTGCAAGTATAGCTTCATTTGGATGTATGAGAACCACTCCATCAGCGTCGTTGGAGTACCTCCTGAACCTTACACCCTTCTTACCATCCAGGAGAAGCAAATGCAGATAGGACACATAGGAATCCTGCAAGAGCATTAAAAAAATACGAGGGGTATTGATGCCAACTGGTACCGAACTGTGTTCACGTCTTCGATTGAAGATAATTTGATACCCAACTTACAGCGGAAACTTAAGATAGCGGAAATGGATCTCTGGAACTCTCTGGGAAACTATGCAGCAGTCGAACTGGCTGAAATTCTTCAATCACCAGCTTTATAACCAGAAGCATGCAGCAGCCTGCATAGGCTGCTCGCTTTTTGGGGGTGATCTGGGTTGTTTGGAGTAGGAAGATAACCACCCAAGAGAATCAGGAGGCTAAGTGCGGCTTCTAATTCATCAGCTGAAGTGTCACCGCCACTAACTTTCGACCTGGTTCCAGATTTTGGAACCAGAACCAGCATTTTGCGCGCCTGATTTTGTTGCTGCAGCACAAAGTTGTCCAAAAAACAACATTCTTTATTACATGAATTAAAACTCACATCGGCATATAATTTACAGCTTTAAATATTACTAACTAATAACATGATCCCTTTTTTATGCGATAAAATCTATGAAAAAAATCATAAAATAAAGTCAATGAGAACCTGGCAATGTGTCTTTAAAGATACATTCAAAATTGAAAGTAAATTATTACGTATCTGACAGTGTGCATTTAGAGATACATTCGGACAATCCGCATCGTACAAGAATAATTATACAAGTTTTGGGATGAAAAAACAGCACTATCATCATGAAACCTTTATTTACTATCCATATTACTACAAATAATCACCAATATTCTTTAAAAATAACACCGAAAATAATTAAAATTATTAGCTGGTGCGTAGACGCCTGTCAACGGTCTGACATTTTGAATATTACTGTTAAATCTGTGCAGCCTGTAGCGATTCTATACTGTGTAACACAATCTGTAGTATTTGGGCTAATGTTATATTAAAAAAACAATTAAAAATAGTTTTTGGTTTCTCGCCCATATTTTTGTTTTGGTCAACGTATCTTTAAATGCACAATGCCAAGAAAAGGGTTAAAATGTTATTTTAAACGAAGATTACAATGTTTATTTAATTAGAAACTTAAAGTTGTTTAATATTTTCTTCCAAATGAAATCTTTTATTTTAGGTAAGTAGGTAGGTACTTTAAATTTTCAAATTATTCAGCTATAAAAAATTAAGGATATCAATAATACTACCTATTTAAGAAAATCAAAATCACTTCAAAAATGACGTGTAACCCACAGAAAGTTTAGTAGGTATTGCCTAACCACTGTATTTTTTTTATGCTGAATAAGTACTCTTATTCTTAACTAAACCTTATTTCAAACTTTTGACCCATTCTAAATATGTATCACTTAAAATTAAATTACTGACACTTATAATAGGTAGGTATTATCTTATTCTAAGCCAAAATAACTATCTACTACTTATTTATTTAGTCAATAAAATTTTTACAGTTAGTCACAATCGTCAATATTATTAGCCTTTAGTCATAAAAGCATCTAACCCAGAACCGGTTAAATGTCGCCTGTTGTGAATTGATGCTATAGTATATCACTTTACGATTGACATCTTTATCGCCGAAACCATTAAATCTAAGCTATATAATTTAAACTCCCGTAAAACAGTCGTAATAGCTTTAAGATGGACATAAACAGTAAATATACCAGCGTCACAACACTAATGGAAGTTAAATTCAAACAATTCTTACCTACTAACTGTAATCCACTCGAAACCATTGCCACAATTTAACAATAAAGTCTCAAACCACTTTCCGACGTGATAAGTCACAATTAATTAATGTTAATTGCTTAATTGTCATTTCATATCCAACAAAAAGGTCCGATTCAAACTTTTTTGTTCTTTTCAACCGTCAACATCGAGCAACACTTTTAAGAAAGAACAATGCTCATCGCTAACAATGGGCAAGACGAAAATAAAAACAAAAGAGAAGCGGCCAGTCACTGTGTATTTTGTTTGTAGTTCGAAAATTTGTTATTTGAATTTTTTCGCGCGCGAAAAACAGCGGAAAACTTGAATATGGAATGTCATGTCACTTTTTAAATGCGTACGGATACGAAAGTCGGCGAGCGATGGGCGGGCGCTACGGGTGTCCCTATCGTGGGTAAGACCGCTACTGCTATTAGAGAATCGCAACGCGCCTGCGTTGGTTTGCGCCACCGTTGGTTCTGCACTCTTGATACATTTCTGCTTCAATTAATCCTAGCTCTGTGCTCAATTACACCTACGAGAGTCGTTTCCCTGACAACACTTTTAAACTATTTGGACAAGCGTTTTAAAAAATTTCAATACTTTCGGATAGCCTTCTCGTCTCGCTAGAGGTTTTAAATTTATCCGCAACTACCGACTAAGTCCATTGTTTTTGTAAATGTACCAAGTAATGTTATTAGTTCTGATATTAAATATTTATAAACAAAGTAGGTAGTTGGCTAACTTTTAAGCTGTAGGTACCTACTTGGCTTACAAACAATTGGATAATTGACACTTGCCTCAATTAACAAAAGAATTAAATACATGGTATGGATAGATTTTGTAAGCCTACTTTTTTCGGCCGATAGTTTAGTCGGGCAGTTGATCAGTACGGGCGTGCATGGAAGTGCGCACATTACACCGATTCGATTTGGCTGATTCTTCATACAATTTAAAATCGGGCACAACTATCGGACAACTAAAAATCGATGGTCTGCGCCTAGTCTAAGCAATTGTTTCAATCAATTGTTAACACATTGCAATTTTTTTGCAAACTCAATTAATTATTTAAAAGCAATCATTTTACAGCAAATCGAAAACTAATTGCGTTTCAGGGCCAGATTGCAGTGTTCTTTATGAAAGTTTTTGTCTTAGAAATATTTGTATTATGTTTACTGTGTAGAGGCTGGGTAACAAGTGTTTTATTTAAGCATAAAATATCATATCTATAAGTATAATATACGGTTAATACAGAACTATGACTTATTTGAAAAATAACCCTTTCTACAGTAATATTCTTTAGATTCTGCAAACTTTTTTCGGTAGTAAAATAAGAATCTTCGCATTATGTCTGGCATTGGAACTTATTTCCCTTCCCACAGCTCTCCATAAAGCCTAGACAAAGTTCATAATAGGGCTGGAAGACCTTCGTGTAACGCGATCGCAAACGGTGCGTGAACTGAGCGCGATCGTTCGACCATGATGGCTGAACGTAATGCAGTTAGATGCAGTTGGTTTACTTTTATGTGTAATAGAATTGAGTATGTGTTAGCATTAAGCGTAACGCCAAATATTTAATTATTTAATATATCTTGCATTTTGTATCTACCGCCACTAACCGGCCATTGTGAAAATCAATGGGAGGCCTGTGTTGAGTAGTCGACCTCCTATGGCTGAAATGATGATGATGATGATGATTTTTTATCTAACCCTTTTTTCAGATTGATCAATCTGTAAATCATTAGAGGAGGTCTATGTTCAATATTTACCGCTCTATAGCTAAAAAAAATGATAATGATCTATATTAAGGTATAGTACGGCTCGATCGTTCGACCATGATGGCTGTACGTAATGCAGTTAGATCCAGTTGGTTTATATGCATGTGTAGTACCAATCTACGCACTCATTATGTGATGTGTAAATGCAATCACGTTTTGAAAAACATAGTACCTACCAAACTTTTTACCTGACTGTGCCTGAAGGAGGATTATGTTTTTTGCTTACCTGATCCAATCTTAAATTGGCAAATCTGGAAATCATTCAGTATCACCTTGAGTTGACCAGACAGTAACTTCTTAAAGTTAATTTCAAGTAAAGAACCGCAGAATCGCTAAAATCAAGTGGCAGTGGGCGGGGCACATAGCTCGTAGAGCTGATGGCCGCTGGGGCAGGAAAGTTCTTGAGTGGCGACCACGAGCCGGAAGACGTAGTGTGGGTATCTAGTGGACATTTTTCGGCTGAAACGAACGAACGAAACAACAGTAAGTTCTTAAAAAAAACGCAAGCTTACTGTATCTTCTCATAGTATTAGACATAAAGATTTACTCCTAAACGATCCTTTTCACAAAACTATCAATTTTTTAACTCATATTGAAGTATTTACAAAGCCGTTTCTACGAAGTAGTATAATTTTATCTAAAGACGTAAAAACTATAATAATTATGGGCACCGCTTTAAGATGAGCTCTACCAGAATTTCACACTGTAATGAAACCAAAGTGACTTTTCACAGTAGAAAACCACGGGAAAGTTGTAACGTCACTTTAAAATCTGATATAATCAATTGTACGACGTCATCCAGGGAAATAGACCCTGAAATTCAGTCCATCGAGCCATTTTACAGGGGTTGAACACGTAGTAAATCATAGAAAAGAAATGCTGAATCTTTTCGAAGCTAGTGTGACCAGAAAAAAAAGATGAGCAAAAACGAAGAATTTAGATTTTTCTCCAATCAGTTTAATTTTGAAGACAAAGTTAGAATTTCCAATTTAAAGGAAGTAAGTAATATGTCTGAACAATTTTATTTTTCAACATTTGAAAATTTAACAAGATATTGGCTTATTTAAATCAGTGACGTAGTGGAAACTTAACCTACTTAAATAAATAATATATTAGTAAACATTAAGTACTTTTTACGAGTAATAACCTAGATAATATGATTTCGTAATATTTTACTTAAAGAGAAAATTAGTAACTATACAATATCATATCTGGGTTTCCATTGTTGTGAAAATATCAAATAGTTTGGAACACGTGTTTTTGTTGATGAGCACCTTCATGCTGTATAACGTAGAGCTGGCTAGCTGGAACCGCTATGATAGAACTGTCATTTATATTCAAATGTGATGTTGTCTTTAGCTGTGTAATGGCTGTGCCGAACTCTCTATTGTAAATATTCTACGTGTGCTTTGATACCAATATATTTATTATGTTACTACCAACCACTGTGTTTATTGCTCTGTAGCGGACTTAATATATCCCTAACAAGGGTTATGGGCCCAGAACCCCAGAGCAAAGTAACATTTTAAAATAGTTTGTCGTGAAAATAATTTCGTATAAAGTGACGTGAACAGAATGTCGAATGTACGTATTGAGTTATTGAGAAAAGACAACTATGATAGTTGGAAAGTGCAAGTAGAAGCCCTATTGATCAGAAATGATTTTTGGGAATATGTGAGTGGAGAAAAGTCAAAACCCACGGATGAGACATTATCAACAGCATGGGATTTTGCTGACAGAAAGGCAAGATCGGAGTTGATTTTGTCATTGGATCCATGGAACTTGATAGGTTTTAGACCATGCCACGCACCAAAACGTCCGGAAGTTGTAATAGTATTATAGAATAAACGTTAAAAGACTTATTTATTTAATTTTTCAATGCTTAAGTGTCCATTAGAATGAATGGGTGCTTAATGTATTAAAAAAAATAGAAAATAATTATGATGGGTTAATGTTTTTGGGCGGTTTTTAGGCGGTTTCTGACAATGTCCTTTGAAGTATTTTCATCGATAAAATTGTTCATAGATTACGTCTTTAAAGTTTGATCACTACATGCCCGGACACACTGTATATAAAAGAAAGTCGTGTTAGTTACTCCACTTATAACTCAAGAACGGCTGAACCGATTTAGCTGAAAATTGTCAGGGAGGTAGTTTAGAGCCAGGAGAAGGACATAGGATACTTTTTATCCCTTTCGAAATAAAAAAAAGTCTGCTTATTTGGGTACTTCTCATTTACACTCAAATTTGATGGTCACACAATAATAGTTCATAAACTGTATAAGTTAGAACAATACCTTTGAAATCAGATGATAAAATATCTATTTAGCTACATACAAAATAAATTTTATCGTAATAGAAGCAAAAATAATACGAAAAAATCACATGAAACGATAAAAAACGGGGTCATTTTTCGCGTTCTCATCGTGTCACACCTTCGGTTGCAATGAAACATTTGGTTACTGCATTCACAATTTCATTCAATTTGTGTGTAGCATATACTAAAATCATCGTAATTAAATATATGTCCTTTCCACACAATAGTCAAAAAAATAT